TTAGAATGCATATTTAGAATATACCCAAAATGGTGAAGGGTATCATAAAATCGGCCCAGTCCGTCTTTAATACTTTCCTTACTGGTTTTAATTTGGTTTATCATTTTCTCCGGGAGATTTTAGGTATTTGTAATGTCCATCACATGATGTAGGTTATAAAAAGTTCGGACCGTCCGAATGTAAAGATTTTTTTTACAACTCTATTATCTAAACCGAAATACCATTCCTGATTGCATTTCAGCAGAAAGCAGTGATTAGACGCCAGCTTTGAGCGTAATGCATTTCATTCAATGCCGCCGTATCATTTCAACCAAAACATTTGTGTAACTTATTAAATATTATAATTATGTTGTTGTTACAACAACAACAACAACAAATTGGCATTGCAGCCAATTAAAGTTTCCATGCAAACATCAAATGGTCAATTAAACCGAATAATTTATTCGATTTGTTGGGCAAAACTAAAAAAATAACAAATTTACTGAAAACCATATTCGTGTGCGAATTGAATGCCAGGCGGAGACTAGATAGACCGCGATGTAATTAATCATTAATCCAAATGTTTGTATTGTTTTCGCACTTTATTATATGGTCAAATAAAAAAATAAAATAACTACAAAACAAGTGAAACTGAAATAATTTATTTCTGAAAAAAGTGTATTTGATGAAATGTAACACAGTTGGGGATTTCTGTTCGACAAATACGGGTGGGAGGATTATGGATTTGAGACAGATAATATTTGTTGTTGCTGCTATTTGTTTTGTTTTCTAACACGCTATTTGCACAAGTTATGTGGTCTGTGTTTGTTTTCTTGTCTTTGATAATGGACAATGAATGGCCCATGGTCATTTATTGTGTCTATCCAAAAAAAAATTATCGAATTGCGCATGCTCTGTTTAGCCATTAATTGCTGCTGGGTTGAGTTGTGGTAGCTGCTAAGTGAATGACCAATAAAAAAAAACAAGTGAAATTATTTCATTTCACTACTGAAAGTAAAAACAAAACAAAAAATTGTCAAAATTATTGCGAAATGTAATTAATAACTGATTCCATTAATTGATCAGATGTTGTTGGCAGTTATGAAACACTTTCAATTTATATTTGATTGATGGTTCTTTCATAAAATATTCGAAATAAAGCAATAATTGAGACATAATTATATGGGTTAAGGCTCTCTAATTGTCGATAATAAATAGTATTTTTTATATTCTCCGTTATATTCACCGGAGAACCCATAAACTATAGATTGCCAGTTTGATTTTGACAGACAAAAAATTATTAAACATATTTTTTAAAGTATACAATTCTGAATTTTTATTAAAGAATATGTTTGAAGAAACAATAGGGCTACAGAAAATGATTTTAAAATAATATATTTTCAAAGGCTAACAATATTTTAAAATATTATTTTCTAGGCCTTACAGAGCCTCTATCTTGGATTTTTAAAATAATATTTTTTTTTTTAAACTAACAGAGCCTCAGGCGTGACTTTTTAAAAGATAAATTTTTCAAGGACTAATAGAGCCTCAGGCATGGATTTTTAAACCAGTAAGAAAAGTAGTAAAATCGGACTGAGTCGACTATATGATACCCTTCACCACTTTGGGTATATGTCTCCTAACCAGTGTTGTCAATTTAGCACTTTTAGTGCTAGATTTAGCACTTCTTGAACTCGTTTAACACCAAAAAAATTGATCTAGCACCTAGCACTTTTTTTTTAGCATTTTTTAATATCTTAGGATTTTTTTTACAAAATTTTGTTTCCAATCCAAAAAATCCCGTTTTTCGATATCATATTGACGCATTGAATTTTGGCTATGTTATACGCGATGAATTTGATTTTGCAATGCTATACAGCATGTACCGTGCATTTCAAATTTCTTAAAAAATGGTCGGGTACAGTGGCTATGACATTGTCTGTTGGTAGATTGTTTATTTGGGAAAATGAAAAACCAAATTAAGTTGTACATTTACTGAGAGCCATGTAAAAATAATGAACTGAATTATGTTGGAACTTTCTGAAAACAGGTTTTTTATCCAGCGGGAATCCCGAATGCCAAGTTATAACCACTTTAGATTACCTAAAAGGCGGTAATCTAAAGTGGCACAATCCCAATATTCCCCTTTATATTTGGATTGTGCCAGAATAAAGACCAAAATAGAAAAAAATTCCGGCAAAAATATTTTTTTTATATTAAAGTCGCTGTTGGGAATGAGATTAAGAAGACTATATATCCAGGTAGAACACAATATACCAATATACAGCAATTTAGGTTGAAAAGTGTGCCTAAAAGCTTAAAAAAAAAGAAATATTGGGGTATGGTGTACCCAAAAAGGACCGATATATTCCATTTCCAATATCAAATCTTATAGGAGTAGTACCAACGTATGTGCAAAATTCCAAAGCTCTGTCTTAAATATTGCGACCTCAATCGGACGGACATGGCTAAATCGACAACGAATAGCCGCTAAGAATAAATGGGGTTTCTGATTAATATTTCAATATTAAATATTAACAATTTTGTTCTAGAAATTTTTAGCACTTTCTAGCATTTTTTTCAACAAAATCTGGCATTTTTCCTTAACAATTTCTGCACAAATTAAAAAAAGCTATAACGGTTCAACTCTCAATTTGATACTTTTCCTGACAATCGGTGAATATTTTACCAAAAATCCAACCAAAATCTGAACCGATTTCAACAAAATTTTGTGCCAATCGTACAAACATTGGGTCTTTAGTGCACACTTTACATAAAATCGAAGGAAAATATGGGAGCTATATCTAAATATGGACCGATTTTCACGAAATTTAACACACATCATTCTAGACGCAGTTCAGTTAAAATCTGTCGAAAATATTTATGGCAACTATTTCTAAATCTGAACCGATTTTTACGAAGCTTAGCAGACATCATTCTAGACTCAATTCAGTACGCTATGCCAAAATTCACGCAAATCGAAAGATATATAGGGACTTTGGTGCACCATTTACATAAAATCGGATAAAACTATATATGGGAGCTATATCTAAATCGAAACCGATTTTCACGAAACTTAACACACATCATTTTAGACTTAATTCAGTACCCTATGCCAAATTTCGTGCAAACAGCATTCTATACTTAATTCAGTATCATATGCCAAATTTCGTGCAAATCGAAAGATATATAAGGACTTTGGAGCACCTCTTACATTAAATCCAAATTTCGTGCAAAATATATATTTGGAGCACCTATATCCAAATCCGATATATGATTTTCAAGAAACTTGACAAATCGAAAATGCTGCACCATTTACATTAAATCGGACGAAAATATATATGGAAGCTATATCTAAATCTGAACCGATTTTTCCCATTTTCAGTAGGGTTCGTCCCTGGGCCAAATAAATGAGCTGTGTCAAATTTCATCCAATTCGGAAAATAAATGCGACATGTACTGTTTTACAATTTAACATGGACGGACGGACATTCATAAATCGTCTCAGAAAGTGATTCTATGCAAATTCTCAAAAGGAACCATGGGTCTCGTCTCCTTTTGCCTGTTACAAACATATGCATAAAGATAAAATACCCTGTACCACAGAGTTGTAAATGGTATAAAAATACCGAAAATCTGGAAGTATCATTGTATGGGGGCTAGCCCTAAGTTCGGGTCGATATATTTCATTCTCAAACCCGGCCTTTTTAGTTTTTTACCTCGATATACATTTGTACCCAATAAGAATACAAATTGCCTTTATATATCGGTCCATTTATTTCGGGTAGCCCCCATACCCGAAATAAATGGACCGATATTGATAATATTTGGAATTTCACGCTGATTAGGAATATATATGATTATATATATATATATATGTTCGATGAATTACAAACGAAAATCAAACTTAATATACCTTCTACACTATGATGGAGGGTATAAAAATCCACGTTTATAGTTCTGAAAGTTCACGATTATAGTTGATAGTTTATGTACAGGAACAAGAGTCCTTGTTTTTAAATATGCAATCATTTTCAGTCAAAGCCATTTTTGCTGTCTCACTTCGATGGAAGTTTATTTAAATGGCCACCATTAAAAGGTCTTCTTGTTGGGAATTTCTCTCTCAACTTTTTGTGTTGCCTTCCTCCTGTTCAATCATAGCCTTCCTAACCTACCTTCCTAAGATTGCATTGAACACATAGAACGCCTTACCCGTGGTTTGCCTAAGCCAACAACTACAAGTTCATTCCATTCCCAGTGGAAAACTGTCCAATTCCAAATTCCATTCTTCTCTAGCAGTGTCTTGTTCTGTAGACCTACAGAGTCAGATAATGTCCTTCATCTTCACCACCTTGAATTTGATTGTATCCGTGATTAGGGCTTCTTGATACGTCAGTCAAACTGCACAGCACAGATCGGTAGGGTTCCCTAATTGTAGGAGGTGATATAAATATAATACCTCTTCGTAGTCCTGTTTGTTGAAGTTGCCGAACGCACCGAACGCACTATCTGCTGTTATCTTACTCATTCGTGAAGTCCGGTTATTTCTATTGGGATTCACACACTTCACGGATGATTCCGAAGCTGTGATCGTCTTCATAATAATAGAGTCAGCTTTGACACCCTCAATCGATGGGTTCTCGTGGCATTCTCATTTGACTTGACGCTGTCCTCAACCTTCTCATATTATCAGTCAACTTTTCCTTTTTGTGAAGGAAGTGGAGGGAACGTCTAACTTATCCTGAGGGGTCAGCTGTTCGCTGTTGTTTCTCCACTTCATGTTGGCCAATATCCTTGCTCACTTCTTCCACCATCGTGGCAGCCTCCTCAATCCTTCGGCACTCTAGGAGAGTTATGTCGGTCTTTCTATAATTTTCCTATTCAGAGTTTGATTTCGAGTCCCCGCCTGTCCCGAGTCATTTTCATAATATTTAACGGAAATATTTTCTATTTTTATACGAACATTTTATTTCTTTGAACCCCATATTCATGATTTTACTTCTCTCTTCTCTCATTTCAGAATGCTGCTCCGCACTCAACAACGACAACAACCGAACACCTTTGCCTTAACCTCTCTATTAAGCACATTTTTGGCTGCCTTGGTGATAATACCCTCTGCTCCGGTGGCATGTTATGTCATAAACCCCAATAGCCTAACAGAGGTACGACAAAAATCCCTCAACTCACCAGCATCGCCACACTCACCACTAACTTCAAAAGTGATATTTGAAAGTCCTAGTGTTGAGAATATTTTCAAGGACTTCATTGTCTCAACAAAACCCCTGACGCTGCGGAAATACTCCACCCGCCCCAAGACAAAGAAAACTAAAAAGGATTCACGTATCTACTATATACCCATACCTCCGATGCCGTATCGTTTTATACCAGGTATTGGTTATGATTATCAGCCAATGAAAATTAAACCTCTGCTGGTAGAACCAACCTCGGCGGTGGTGGAGATACCAGTGACCACCACAGATTATCCCAGCTATGGAAATTATGGTGGCAGCAGTGCCATGCAAAATCCCTATAAAAATTATCATCAACAGCTGCAAAATTCATATCTTCAGGCAAGTCAGCAACAACAGAAGCCACAGTACTTTGATACCTCCTCGAAACTGCCTACATTTGTGGACACAACAAAGCCGCCAGCAAAACCAACCACAACCTCACCCAGCAGCGTCAAGGCGGAAAGTAAAGTTTTTCGTTTGGATCGAAATGATTATTACTTTAATGGACGACCCTTCCGACTGCAAGTGGCCCATGCTGGACCGAAATATAATTTAACGCCACAAAATCTGAAATCATCATTTTATTTTAATAAAAATATTATTTATTAAGTTTTTTATTACCATCTACTTTAATTTAGTATGTTACGAACGAAATTTAACGAAACTAAAAATATTTATGTGTTTTTGTTTTATTTTTGGGGGAATAGAGGGTGGGATTTTTAAAGAAATTGAATCATAAAAAACTGCATACGAATATTTGTAAATAGTGGTTCACATTCCCCTCTATATGAAATGCATCCGAACCACCTGAAATTGTAATAACCATACATGAGAATAACACAAAATAACATTGTTTGGGTTTAGAGCCACACTAAAAAAGCAAGAAACCGAACCATTTTACAAAATTTAAAGCGGCTTTATTCCTAGCGGCTTTATTTTAGCTGGAATAAAAATCGAGTAAGATGTAGATGCTTTGTGGAAGCCCTATTCTTAATGACAATGTGTGGTCTCACATATTTTTGAAAAGTTACACCCAATGAGAATTCAAACTAGAGACAACTCGGCTAAACAATCCTGCCTGAAATACTCAAATACCGAATGGGGTACCAATTCGGTTGAAAAACGTGTCCAAACACCCAAAAATACCGAATATTGATCGTACCGTTATATGGGGTTTACATCAATATTTATAAATATTGGAAGGAACATTTTCTAACCAATCAGAATTCCGAAATATTAAATTACAGCCGATTTAATTGAAATGTATAAAAAAGAAAGGTATACAAATTCAAGGAGAAAACGATGTGTCCAACCTTAAGATACTCAGGTGTATTATGCTAGGATCTTGAATATTCCGAAGTGACATTGGTATGTAGAAACATGGACTTGCTTTTTTAGTGTTGATATTTAAAATGTTCTTTGAAGCGATTGTTTACCCACAAAGCTTCCAGAATGTCAAATAACTGCCACTTCGTAATGCCAAAGAATAGTCACTTCGGTTTAAAAATACATCTAAATGGGCTGGATTCTAATATAGGGGAATATACCCAATGATCGGCTGATTTTTATACCCTTAGCCTTATGGCTAATTAGGGTATATATATTAAAATAGGCCTCATCGAAATATTGGTTTTAGACCCCAATTGTAGTCGAAGTTTAGCATTCCTTCCCCTAAGAAGTCTTATAACGACGTCTTCGTAACAGACATATTCAAATCCTTAAGTTCCTTAAGAGTCCATTTATGGTGATTACCCCCAGAAGTGGTGATAGAAATTTATTTTATCTCATCAATCATAGCCAGAAAAGCGTTACCTTGCATCGGTACCTTCAGATTTGGGCCTTACTTACTTAGCTGGCTTGTTAGAGAACGGTTGTTCCATAAGTCGATCTTAAAAAGGATTTCGAAGCGCGTCGGTCTTGTGCGCATATCCTCCCATTTGAAAGACCATGTTCCGAGATGTTGTCTTCTACTTGATATTTCCTTCTAATTCGTGGCCTTCCCCACCGTAGTCCCTGCAGCACGATACGACTGACTATGTCGATGTCCTCGTATAGATTGTGAAACTCGTGGTTCATTCGACGCTGATATTCACCGTCGACGCTGATTGCCCCGTAGATCTTTCGGAGCATTTTTCTCTCAAACACCCCAAGTGCTGCCTCATGTGCTTGAGCAAGTACCCATGCTTCAGATCCATATAACAGCACGGGTAGTATCAACATCTTGTAGAGCGTGTAGAGCTTTTGGTCTGCCGAGAGGTGGCCTTGTTTCTACACTGCTTACTTAGACCGTAGTAGCATCTGTTGGCCAACAATATCCTTCTCAGTATTTCAAAACTCATGTCATTAGTTTCATTTATGGCGGCACCAAGTTATATAGAATCATTAACTACCTCGAAGGTGTAGTTCTCAAGTTTCACAGTTGGTCCATGTTTACTAGACGTCTTGCGCGTAGATACCATCAGCTTGGTCTTCTCGCCATTTACTGCCAGACCCATCCTTCTCAATTTGCTCAAAGGTGGCTTTTTCAGCTCGCAATGTTCGACCCATTATAACGATGTCGTCGGTGAGTAATAGGTGTTGTTTGGTGTACATAGTGCCATTTCTGTTCACCTTAGCGTCTCGTAACACCTTTTCCAGCAGGATGTTAAAAACTGTCCATTCGGACTTTAACTGCTGACTTTGTGCCACTTAAAGTTATCCTGCATAGCTTTATGCCTCTGAACGGTTAGGGCTGTCGAATGCGGTTCGAGGAATATGTGGAATGTGTCGATGTGTTTTTCGTGAGTCTTTTCCAGAATTTTGCGCAGAGTGGAAATCCGGTGAATGATGGATTTTCCAACCGCACACATTGGTATGGTCCAATAATGTCATTGAACATTGGCTTCAGTCGTTCACACAGTACGCGGGGTACAACTTAATATGCGATTGGAAGAAGACTAATTCCTCTATAGTTGGCACATATCGTCTTGTCTCCTTTGTGCACGGAACACAGGATGCTGAGGTTCCAATCATTGGTCATACATTCCTCTAGCCATATTGTACTAATCAGCTGGTGCATGCTCCTGACCAACATCTGACCACCAGTCTTGAATATTTTTGTTGAAAATACGTTTTCAGTTTTCAATCGACTCACTCACCTTATAAGGAAAAGAGGAACTTCTATAGCTTCTCAATCGAAGTATGTCAGATATTCATATACACAATATGAAGTCTGATATAGCGAACAATTCTTCATTATTAATATACCGAATCAGCACTAAAATTATATTTTTCGTTCTCGTTGGGTGCCAAATCTCCTACCAAAAAAAATAGCATGTCATAACTCCCATATAAAAGATTAGGGGTTTAGAGTTTCAAATAAAAACATAAATATTACATTGACAGAATTCGGGCACACTCTGCAAAATGTTATAATCATATGATTGCTTTACAATACCTTTGTATTGTATTGTACTATCTACTATAATGAATGGACCAATCGTTTTCACTTGTTTATGTATAAACAAAGCCTTTTTATTAATTTTGAATTTTGAATGAAAGTTATGTCGAATTTACGGATTTACATAAATTATTAATACCTGTCGATAAACAATTAATTAGCGAATTTTAAATAGTGGCACAGAGTTATAAACTATTCGATTGTCAAAATTGATGATCCAAATATTTTTTATTGTTGCAGTTGATGAAAACGCAACAAATTGAAAACAAAGCAAAAAATACAAATACGTAATTTATGATAAACACAAAAATATATTTTTATGCATATATGTCAGAGAATAATTTATTATATAAGTTTATTATAAGCATCAACAAAAAAATTATACATAAACAATATTAAAGATTTCTGTTTATTGGGGGAGGGATATTTTCGGTATTATTTTTTTTCTGTTTCGTCAAATCTTTATTTGTCCACCACTTAATTAACTCTAAACGTTTTCAAAGTGTGTTTGAATAATAATATCATCACGTTTAAAATTAATTATCTGCGCAGATTTGTTTTGTCTCCGGTTTCTGTAGCCAACTAATCGATCTGTCCATTTGTCATCTATCAAATTCACAAAACAAATAGTCATTTCTTATTTGTCGAATAAGAAATCCGTATCATATTTAAATGAGAATGCATAACAAATGAATTATTGAAGGTATTGATTATGATATTTCAATTTTGGAGAAATTCCGAAATTGAAAGTCAAACACCATTTCCTGAGGACGAATAAATAAACACGTCTCAAAATTTAAACTCTTTTCTAAATCGTCGTAAGCGGTCTTCAATTAATGTGGATTTTTAAAAATATAAATATTTTACCTCGAAGTTTGCATTTTGTTATAGCCTTTACTATAAGGCTCATTGTGCCACTTTTTGGTGTAGACCAATATAACAGTGAGTAGGAGAAGTTGGGATTTTCATCAAAAAGGTGTCATATTACATCATAGTTCAGGAAATTTCCGCCAGTTGCGCTGGCATGTTTGTAGCATATACATGAACCATGTTTAGTGAATTACAGATAGTTATCAAATACACAATCCGCGCTGATAAACACCCTTATGTTTTTAGTATATTCCCACGGTCGTTATCAAAAACACAATCCCAAAATTGTTTTGTACTCCACGAAATACTGGCCCTAGAACAACCTATTAGTACACCGATCGCCATATCTGGACTATCTGAATCGATCTAGCGTTGCGTGTTCGTAAGTTTTCTCTATTATATGTTTTTCCGAATAACACGAAATTATATGCGGAGATATGACCAACAAATAAGCTTGACATTTTTTATGATAATCGGTCAATATTTTTCATATTGTGTCGTGTTTTTCAAATGGTGTTGATATTACCATTACCATACAAAAATTTTTAGATGTAAATCTGTGCTCGTTATCAACGACTCAATTCACCACACATGGTTGGTATATATGCTTCAAATATGACAGCGCCCCTGGTGGTAATTGCCTGAACCAAAATGTAATATGGCACATTTTTTGAAGCAATTCCCAATTTCTCCCTACTACGATGCATTCAAATTTTCAGTATTTTTAAGATTTTAGATACTGGTTTCAACTGTCACGAGTAATTTCGGGATTGTTCAAGTACAGTTTTCCAACCTGCGTTTAATTTGGTACTTTGTTTTCCCCTAACAGCAATTTACCTATATAAATATCCCCATCGACCATATCATGGTGAACGGTATAAAACATTCGGTCCAACTTAATTTTTTAGCTGTCTAAAACTATACTTTTTTTAGGTATCATCATACCTGTGGATTTTTATACCCTCAACCATAAGGCGAAGTGTATGTTAACCGCCATATGGTGTTCAATCGAAACTGTCACACATGATCAGTTTTGTTAAAGAAAAAGGCTATAATATTTTTCGAAGTCCTTCTTCCACGTACAACTTTCGTTGGATTTGGATTGCCTACACAAAATAAAATAGTCGATTGCTGTCTTGTTTCGGGCTCTTTGTGGCTACATTAAAATATGGACCAATAAGAACACGAGTTAGCAAATTACATTTAACGACGTAACTGTGACAGACCCGAAGAGGTGCGGGTGTTATTTTAACCGGCAGTTCACTGAGCACCCCGAGAGTGACAAGGCAAAAAGGGTTATTATATTTCATAAGGCAC